GGAATTGTCGTCCAACACATGAGAAGGGGAACTGGACTGAAGAAGGCTGACACATACTGGTAAGGCTGTAATAGGCTGGTCAATCTTTCAGGAGCCTCAAGTCGCAGTCTCGCCCTCTACGTCTTTTGGCCTACAGCTTCCAGGATTCTCAAGCATCTGTCATGCCACCTGGGGTGGATGAGAGCAGGAGACCAAACCATCCGAAAGGCATTGCCAGAATGGGGAAGGCTGGTTTATGCTTTTAGCTTGGGTCTCTTCATTTCAAACACCAACCCCGTCCGGATCTGCAGGGGCCAGTAACTGGCACAGAAGGCAAGCTGCTGAATGCTTGAAGGCCCCTTTCCATCCCCAAAATGAAACATAACTGGTTCCGCATGGTGGCAGGACTGGGGGGCATGGGATGTGCACGCTGGATCCAAGGCCTTCAGAATACTCGTGCCTTCACAGCCATTCTTTGGAGCAAAAACTTCACAAGGCATCCATTGCAACTCAACTCTGGGCTGCAGGAAAAGGCTCAGTGTTTACCTGAAGTCCCAGATGCCCTTCTGTTTGTCTGAGAAGCAGGTTTTTCTTGCTCATGCGGAAATCAGTGATGTAAGCTGCTGAGTGCCTTTGAGCGGCACGCATTAATGTCCCAAGAGAAACGAGGTGAGCTTTTCCTCTTGAGCGTGCAATGTTTACCCGAAGGTTGCATGTGAAACTTTCATAAATCCCAGTGCTCATGCAGCACCAAGATAGTAAGCATGCATGTTATACCGCATGTGATTGAAACCAGGGGCTGTTAACCTTTGTGGGATAAGATCAGCAGGAGTCTTGTTAGGTCCAGAAGGGCCTAGGTCATTCTCCCAGCACAGGAAATTATAGAACAGTGAACAGGCAGTATGGTGTAGTGGTTAGAGTGTTGGACTGAGAATGGGGAAATCTGTGGGCTCAGCAAACCATTCTGGGCCAAAGTTGATGATATGGGAGATGTGCCACTCGTAGTGTTCCTTCTAGGGAAACCAGTTTTTTGTTTTTTTGGGGGGGGGGGGTTAAAGGACTGCAGCAAGGGATGAAGAAGCTAAACTACACACCTAAGAGTCTAAAACCAAAGTCACACATACGCCTGCTCATCAGTGTTTTAAAAGAGCAGATATGACACATGAATTTATGCATTCCAGATACTGTGAAATTGGGCTTCATTGGAAAACATTCATCAACGATTTTTCTATCTAACTCACCCCATAAGGTTGTTGTGACGATAAAAGAGGAAGTACTGTGTTGTCTTTATCTTCTTGGTGGAAGACCAGGTTAAAAATATGTTTTTAAAAAACAGGTTCTTTGCATACATGATAGAAAGAAAAGCAGCTCTGCAAAGCACAACACTAAACAATTTTCTTTTCAAGTTCAGCATGTGTTATACCACTAAGATTAATGGAGCCTTTAATGATCTGACAGAGTCCAGAGTTTATTCAGGTCTCCAATGTGACTTGTTATTGTCTCCCAGGGAAGTTTTGCCAAGTACATGGTGTTACTCGAAAGGGTTTGTTTCACCGATCAGAAAAGCAACCAGCTGCAGAAGCCCAGCAGGGAATCCAGAACTCTTCAGAAGAAAACCGAAATGGGAGATCAGAGAACTTTGTGCTCATGGCAAAGGGTTGGAAGATCTGCTCTCAGGTGGAGTAGGGCAGGGAACATCTTGGGTGGGAATACAAGACATCACATCTGGCACACCATCCCTAGCAGATTTATGCTGCCCTTTCTCTGAAATTGACAGTCTCGGGTTGGTCTTGACTCGGCATATGTCAGCACTGCTCTACACTGGCTGAGTTTGCATGGCACACCGTGCAAACTTCCAAACCACAGCGACTTCCTGTGTTGTCTGAGCCCATGGGGGGTTTTCTCTGGGGGGATAAAGCCACCCCAACTAACTATGGCTGAGAAGAGTTTTGTAGCCAGCCCTGGCTGGCTTCTTGTCTGAAGCTTGATGACGCAACAAACCGGGGGAAGCCCAAACGGCTACATGGCTGTCTGGCAACAAGCAGTGGACTGGCTTGGCATTCCGGATAAGTAGCTCAGGACAAGCCAGCTGCCCTGTGTACCCAAGTGGGAATTTGGGGCCCTGTCATCAGCTTCCTAGTCAATCCTGCACCCTGCTGACATAAGCCATGTTTATTATTATTATTATTATTATTATTATTATTATTATTACTACTACTACTACTACTACTACTACTACTACTATTATTATTATTAGAACATTTCTATGCTGCCCCTTGCCAAAGCCTCGGGGCGGCTTACAACACAATAAAATACAATACAATATAAAAATAACAATATAAAATTAAAATTAATAATATAAAATAAATAAAAATATAAAAGATATAAAAGAAGTTATAAAAGAAAAGAAGTTGCCCTGGCCAGATAAATAAGTAAATATTGTTAACAATTAAAATGACGTTTAAATAAAAAGGTCTTCACCTGGCGCCGAAAAACAAATAACAACGGCGCCAGGCGGACCTCTCTGGGGAGCACATTCCATAGATTGGGTGCCACCGCAGAGAAAGCCCTCCTCTGAGTACTTACCCTCCTAATTTCCTTCATGGAGGGTTCCCGGAGAAGGGCCTCTCCCACAGATCTCAGGGGGAAGGCGGGCATATATGGACGTAAGCGCTCCTTCAGGTAGCCAGGACCCAAGCCGTTAAGGGCTTTATAGGTCATCACCAACACCTTGAATTGGGCCCGGACTTCAATGGGAAGCCAGTGAAGCTGTCGGAGGGCTGGAGTCATGGAGGTGATGCACAGAGGAGACAGGACACCTGGGAGCAGCTGCCACTCCCACTCGGCAGTGTTCCTCTGTGGAATACCAGCGGGAGGGAAAAGAGGGGAGAGGTGCGGCAGGACCCCCACTGCACCTCATCATCTGTCCAGGAGCATCACAGGCCATGGGGCAAAAGAGCCATGCAACAAAGCTGCTGTTTTTGTAACGGGGCTTGTTATGTCATGCCCTGCCAGTTGTAGGTCTTTCTGCGTGTAAACATGCATAAGATTGCACCTTTAATTACAAATGTCAAATAAGCTATTAAGAATGCTACCAGAAATATAGTACAAAGTCCAGATATCCTGTGGCACCTTAAAAGACTTCCAGAGGGCTTTTCTGCACAAGGCTGCTAATCTGCTCTGTTTTCAGTTTCAACTTCTTTAAAATTCTGCTTAGCAATTCTTTTCCCATTGTGCATTGTATATAAATGGGAAAATCCATGCATCTGATGAAATGGGTTATAGTCCATGAAAGCATATGCAGAATTTTTTGCTAGTCTTTAAAGTTTCAGAAGACCTTAAAAAAACTACAACTCACTGCATATAATTAAGCTTACACAGACATTAAAACTTTTGGAAGGCAAAGCCAAATAAAATTAAGATACGTAGCTGTGTCTTCATTGGAATGAGGCCATTGAAATACTAGTGTTCTGAATGAAATAAAAGGGCTATTAGATAGAAATTAACATTCCTGTCACATTTACCAATGTGTGTGTTAATTTTTCAAGGAAATTACTGAACTGAAGCTAATGGAATTAATGATAATTCAGAATCAATATCCCTAGGCACCTTATGGCTACCCTGAAGGTTGTTATTTTCCTCCAGAGGAATTTCCAAACAAGATTGCAGTGTACACCACAGACACGGGACCTAGTAAGGACCTCACAAGAATTCTAGTCACTTGTGTCTGAATAGAGACAATATTTCCTTGTCCTACTGCTGCTAATTTAATTAGCAGTGCTAATATAACTGCATTATCCCCAGTGACGTCTGTGGTAAAGGGCTCTGCTTATTTTGCATGTGTTTTTGCTCTGACTGAATTGTCACAGGCTTTACTTCGCATTTCTCCACCACTGCTCCGTTGCACCTGGGCAACCCCTGCCAAGGACTGGCTTCCACGGTTATCCACAGGATACCATCGTCCCTTCTGCTTTTTTACTGCTTGTGAAAACCAGGCTGTTCTCCATGCCTGCACCCATAACCCCACTGAGAAAGGGGCTGGCCATGCTGCTGACTACCATTTCTGCCCGCTCTCCTAACACTAGAACCCAACGGGGGCATCCCATGGTCTGTGGGAGATTCAGGGCAGAGGAAAGGAAGAACTTTACCTAGCACACAGTTGAATGATGGAACTCACTTCCGCAGGATGGACTGATGCCACCCTTTGGGTGGCTTTAACAGGGCCCCCAGACTCAGAGGCTTACAGGCATCCTGGAGAGGGTGTTCCAACAGTTCCAGCCACAGAGCCAGGCTTGGAGGTCTGAACAGGGACTCCCAATCCGCCTATGGGCGTCTAGACGTCCTCCAGCGAAGGGTTGTGCCCCTAACTGAATTCACGTTGAATGACTCATTAATAACAACTCTAATTACTAAGTTTCCTGCTAGCTTCTTAATTGTTTTGTGACATCCATTGTTGTACTTACTTTGGGAGTTGCTCTGATTATAAACTCTTCTGAGGGCATCTGCCAGAAGAATTGCTAACACAATACTTACAACTGTATATAAATGGTATATAAACGCAATAGATATATACAACCCCTATATAAATACAAATACTATATACATGCAATAAATAAAAGATCACAAATATCCTTTTGCGGCGTCCACAATCCCCGAGCCGTTTTTTGGAACATCTTGGGGGGGAGTAAAGAATCATAATAATAAAAAATGAATTAATAAATGAGGAAGAGATCTGCAGATCTCGAAAGCTTGCACATTTCAGTTCTGCTCTGGTTGTCCTAATAAAGATACTACAGCAAAACGGATTTGGGAATGTTTCTTCCGAAGACGCTTTGCCTCTTCCGTCAACCAAGCCTTTCCCGTCAACCCGTCTCCTCTTTTTTCCAACGAGAGACAGCAGCGGCGCAAAGGCTACCCCGATGACTTCCTCTCGCCCCATCTCCCCTCCCCTTTTGGGATGGAGGCGTCACCTGAGCTGACGTAGCCAACCCGGGTGGCCCTATAAAGCGGCGCAACCGCAGCCTTTTCCTTTAAGTCCCTTTGCGCTTCGGTGTTGTTTTGTGGTCGTGGAGTTTACTCCCAGTATCTCCTTAGCAAATGGGTTCTGCAGCCTAGCGTTTCCCCCCCGAGCCAGGTCACCCGTGGTCTCAAGCCGTTAGGAGTCTGCTGGGCACAGCTCCAGGATTTGAAGGTAATGCACCCCTTCTCTCCCCGCTGTCTCTGTCAATGTTCCGTAAGTTTCCCCAGGCAGGGCTGTCTGCTCCCCTTCTTGTCTTGGAAATCCAATTGCTGTTTTGAAATGTAGCCGTGTTGCACGCGATTGCATGGATTAAAAAGGTGTAAAACGTCATTGGTTTACCTCCTTGCCCCCTCCCTCGCATTAATAGTGTGCCAGGCCGGGACAAGTTTGCTAAGGAAAGAGTCCTTTTCTGCTGGGTTCTTCAGATTAATTTTCTTTAAATTGCTAACACTTCTTGCCGAAGTGCCAATTTTAAACCTACAGACAAATGAGAGCGCGTTTGCTTGAGGCCAGCGTCAATCCTCGGAAGGTTTACTCGGAAGTCAATTGCATTGAACTCAGTGCGACTTCCTCCCGTGTAAGTGTATTTGAAACCTGACGTTGAACTTGGCCTTCGGGACTTCGATCGGCGTAAAGCGTGCACTGGGATCGAGCTTCCAAAAAGGGCTTCAGGAACGGTGGAGTTTGAAGACGCGGACCTGCTGGCCGCAGTCAGTGGTCCAAGCTGTGACGGCTCATATCGTTGTTGGAGGGGCCGGGGATTGGGACGATCTTTGCTCTGAATCTTCAGCTGCCTTTTTTATGATTTTTATTACAACATTTACATACGCAAGCCTCCGAGACAGAGCGCTCTCGCTCAGGCATGCATTCACTCTAAGCGCCTGCTTTGGATGTCCTTTGGGTGTATGTGGGGGGGGGGGGTCTTTTAAAACCCCCCCCCCCCCGCTTCTGCAACGTGCCTGGACTTTCCACCCGGTTGCCAACGTTTCACTCGGGGTCTCGGAGTTCCATTTCGGAATCCGCCGTCCTCGCGACCGGGGGGGGGGGGGGGGGGGCAGCACGGGCTGCCAAGCTCCCGTGTATTTTTCTGCTAAACCAGTCGCCTCCCGCACGGTGCCCCTCAGGACGGGCGAGTCTGCTTGTTTGCATTTTCTGGCGTGCTGGTCAATATTTAATCTGCATTACGGCGAGTGAAGTGTTTTTCCCCGGTCTGGGCGCTGCTTGCTTCTCCCGGCTGACAGCTTGCGCCTCTCGGAGGGTGCTTGCAGCGTGGCCATGTTGCCTTGGCACGCAGGAATCGGGACGCCCCTCTCGCCCAAAGCGACTCTCCCTTGAATCGCGCACAGTCGCATCTGCATTTTCATCCCACTCGCATCCCATCCCCGAATGGAGTTGCAGGAAAGGCACGTGCCCCTCTTGCTGGGGCTGCATGCAAAGGGCCGGGGAAGGGCTCCATATGTCGGTTGCAGCAGCAAGCCAGTTCAGTCCGGTTTTTTGCAGTTTGCCTGTGCTGTTCCGAGCAAGGCTTTCCCCACGCCCCCAGAAAGAAACAAAACCGCACGTACTGCAGGCGAGTGAGCAACGCAAGGAAGGCAAGACAAAAGAGCTTTCCGCCCACCCACGAGTCATTTGAGCTGCTTAAATAAGTCAAACTCTTAGAGGTGTTTTTCGCTTGCCAAAAGCTCTCGCGTTTTCAAAATCGAGATGGCAGCTCTTTCCATCTCTTGCAGTGTCCTCCTTTGTTTTATTTTGTTGCTTTGTTTTAGAACTTAGTATGTGCTTCTGTAATAGTCTGCTTCAAATTAATTTTATAGCCCTATTTTTTCCATATTAAAGGAGATACACTTGGCACAGCTAACTCGTTCGTGTAAGTTACTGGAGTGTGCATGGGTGTGCAAACTGGTATAAGCCAGATTTCTGATTTCCTGTAGGCAGCCTTAACTCTTCCAGTGCCATGTATCCTCAGATCTTTGAAATTCTGCCCCTACCTAGTGATAGCATGTTGTGCTTGGGCAATTGAATGTTTCCAATCCCGTAGCTTCCAGGAAAAATTGGGTAATGAGGAAGTTCTCAAAGGAAATTTCTCATATATATGACTGCTTTTGATTGCAAGGGACTTCATAGAGGCCTTTTCATATAAAAGCTAGTATATAGTTTTTCATATAGAAAACTAGATTTTATATGAAAACATGTTTCTCAGAATGAAACCCAAACTAAGCCAGTTCAGAAGAATTTGCACTTAATGCCGAAGATGAGGGAGGAAATGAGTTAATGCCCTCTAAATCCTGTCTTTTTTATCCTTCATCTGATGCTGCATTTTTATACTCAACTTTTTACAAGGTGATCTTGCAAGGTACCCTGTTAAAATGTGAAACAATGAAAATGTCACACATGATAAAAGCATAAGTTCAGAAGACTATAGTAAAATAACATCCATTCCCAGGGGAAGCAATGCAAAATATAGGTTATTAGTGTTAGGAGACAGAGTACCTGGACGAGGGCCTTCTCTGCGGTGGCGCCCCGACTATGGAATGCGATCCTCAGAGAGGCCCGCCTGGTGCCGTCACTATATGCTTTTCAGCGCCTGGTCAAGACTTTTTTATTTAATCAACATTTTAATATATTTTAATGAAAATTGGATTTTATTGTTCGTATTTTATTAATTGCGGCCAGCGAGGAATAGTCAAATTATCTATTTATTCTGATTTATGTTGTAAGCTGTCCAGAGATGCAAGTAATGGATGGCATACAAATTTTATAAATAAATAAATATAGGTACTTTTAGGATTAAGATGTGGGCAGCTTTGGCCTGTTCACATGGATACATCTAGATTGGCCTTTGAGATTCATGGTGTCTCCTACACTCCATGATAGTAAGAGTGTGAGAACATATTTTTAAAAATGGCATATTGAGGGTTGGTGTGAAAGCATCAAGCTGATCCTAAATCTATGGAGAGGTGTATTTCTAGCCAGAAGAAATGATAGTGCTACCTCCTAAAATAGCCTTCCTAAACTGGGTGCCTTCTTGACATGTTGGGCTTCCTGCCCACTGTTCTCTAGTTAGCCATGCTGGGAGCTGAAGTCCAGAATGTCTGGAGGAAGTGGGAAGGTGGTGTGTATCCTAGCTGTCTGTTTTCTCTAGGACCTGCGGAAGTACTTTTTGTGTACATCAAAAAGTGCAGGGTGAAAGACCCTCTTCACCCTGATCGTGTGCTTGGATGAGATAAATAGCTGGGATTGTAGAGGATTCTTGGCCCCTCCTACAAGTAGAAATGGCTAAGCGAATACAAGGTTAACTGTCCCATTACATCCGAGCCCAGATTCCTGAAGTTGGTTTCTTGTTTCTGGTTTGGTTTGGGGGTGACAACCCTGGGCTGAACACACCAAGAAGCTTTTCCTGCTTGTTGGTTTAGCTGCTTCCATTGGCTGGAGGAGCAGAGCACCACAAAGCATCGTGATCGGTGGGCCAGAACAGATTGTTCAGATGACAGACCAGTCATCTAAGGAATCCTGGCTTATCTTAACATACGCATGTTCTTGCAAGCCAAAAAGCAATCCTGCATGGTTCCCATAGTTCCTGGATTGTTAAAAACCATGATCTACTAACATGATCAAGTGGTTTCTCTGCTCATTCCTATTGCTACATAATCCACCAGCCATGATGCCTGAAATTCAATCCCAAGCTGCCCCTCTGCCCTTGTCTACATCATCTGCCTCTTCCTCAATGGTCTACACATTTGTTACTAACCCAAGAAGAATATTAGAGGCTGGATAGCTGGAGCAGCTCCTAAGAAGTCACTTTTGGGGGGGGGGGGGTTCATGGTGGTTACATACCAGGGTTGTGGAAGCCACCATCCAAGGTTTAGACGATGCAGAAAGCCATGGTGATATGGAAAAATGGTAGAACAAACCATTGTTTCTTGTGGTTTTTGAAGAACAAACCTCCAATGTCAACATACCACACCTGGGTTTGGACAGCATAACAAGACCAGCCATGGTTCAAAGCAAACCTGCATGGCTTGCCTGAAATTAACCTCTGTGTGCCTGTCTCTTTGAATTGTCTATTAACAACTTGTTAAATCCATGCACAAACTGGAATACTCCCATTTAGCATTTCAGCCCATCATGCCCTCCCCCATCAAGCCATTCCAATTTTCCCTCACTTGTTCCCATTTTTTTCCCCCAAATGCTACCAGTATATGGCTGGTCCTCATTGGGTGATTTATTATTTGACGTGTGGATTGTCCCCTTGGAATTCTACAAAAGATTTTTTGGTCCTCATGCAACCTCCTGGATTTCTTCGTCATACTGATATCCTTCCATTTCTCAGGGGCCCTGTTTGGCTACACTCTCTTTACTTGCCTGGTGATTTTGCTAATAGGCATAATTATTCATTTTTTTATTTTATTTCAAACTTTTATATGCCGTCCCCTCATGCCTCGGCGTCTCAGGATGGCTTACAACATCCAGCAGCCTTCGTGCCTTCTTTTTGATCATTTATCATCGGTTTCCAGAGAAATAGATAACAATCCCTTTTCCCATAGGTGTAAATAGATTTTTAAAAAAATAAAACATTCACCATGATTCAGAAGGAATTATTACAGCACATGCTGTAAGTTTCCCGCTCCTGCTGTCTCCTTAGGATAGGTGTCAGGATTGCGTTTATATTCAGATCTGAAAGGTAAAATTGTCTATATGCATTCAAAACTGCACCATGATACCTTAAGGGAGAGATGATAACATTGCAGAACAGCCACTGATGCCCCACAAGAGACTTGCTCCATGCGGCCAGCAAGTTTCTTTGTACTAGTAGTTGTACTTTGTACTGGGCTTTTTTCCTCAAAGTTGCCCTTTATGTGGTGTTCGGACCACGCTTGTGAAGTAACTGTAACCTGCAATTTTAAAGGCTTCCAAGAACTGGCAGTTCTTCTCTGTCTTGTAGGACACGTTAACTGAAGACTGGATTTTGGCAAGTGTCAGATTGCAGCTCGCAGCCAAAACATTAGCTGGTTATGTGAGATTCACTTCACGTCACCAACTGCTTTTTGACTTGCGTTGCTCCAAAAGGCTTGCCCAGTGCCTGAACAGCAATATCAGAAAAAGCAGCACCAATTTAGGAACTGTACTTGTCCTTGACTCCCTTTCTATCCCCTGACTGCCTTATTCCAGCCAATAGCACACGGTTCCTTCTGTTTCTAATCCCAACGGCAAATCTCCAGACAGAGAGGCCTTCCAGCATGTCCAGGAACACTACAGATTGGGTTTAGACTACACAAGAACCCACATGCATCGGTTGAGCATGGGCTGTTGTGGAAATGCGTGTTCTTATATTGTCTAAACTGCGGTAACAAGCCATGAAGAACAGCCTGCAGTTTACAACCCAACAACAAACCATGGATTCCCTTCATAGGTTATTTGTGGTTAACTGAACAAGTTTTGTTACTGTGGCTGGGTTCAGGCGACAGAATGACCCACACTTCATCCACAACCGACTCTGTACCCTTGAGTGTGGGTTACCTCACTGCTTAAGTGCTGGCAATTTATACTCCTATGTCATGCTGAATTCTGGGTTCCAAGACCTAACTGTAGGGCAATTTAAGACTTTTTCTCCCCACAAGCCCCTTGAATTTGGTTAGGCACACACAGAAGACTTGGATATGAATAGAAAATTGATAAATCAGCACAAACCACGATGATGGAACTAAGCCAGTTAGCTGCTTTTCTTCCCATGCAGAAGTTGGACCGCAAATGTTTGAGTTTGCTCAGCAGTTGATTGTTCTGAGCTGGCTCTGTCCTGGCGGAATCATCTCTGTTCCAAAGCAGTGCTGTGAACAATCATTTCAGTCTCTGCCCACCGGCCTCTCAGACAATGATGTGCATTCTTGTAGTGTGCGTTGCTGCAACATGGCTCAATGGCACATTCAGTGAGGCTCTGTTCAAACAGGGTCTTATGATTTGCTGCACATGGGGTAGGGATGAAACATTGACGCATTGTGAGCCGCCCCGAGGCTTTGTTGCGATGGGGGCGGCATAGAAATGTGATTGATTAATTAATTAATTAAGGCTTGCACACTTAGCATGGAGCTTTGTTGCTTCGTGGATCAACCAGCAAATATTGCCACATCTGCCTCTGACCTGCACTTCTGATTGAGGCCGTGCCTTTAGCCTGGGTCCTTAAAACCCCAAGGAGCAAAGCAGAGTGACTGGGGATTTGATTTTTTTTTTTCTTTTGGTAATGCTTTACTCTGTGGCCTTGGGCAACCAACTTCCCACATCTCAAGGGACGCTCACAAAAGTGGCTCCTGTCGGATGAAGAATATACATTTTTCCTGATGCCCGAACAACAACGGTCAGTACTTCGGGTACTAGCAGAGAGGCACAAGAGGGTCGAAAATGTAAAATAAACCTCTGCCAAGGAGGTCAGAATTTGTAAAGATGAGCCTGGAGGCCGATGTTTGAACACTAGATGTCCGAAAAGGAAGTGTTGGTCCAGATAATCATGTACAAAAAGTAACTGAATGTTTTCTGCAGTGACGTTTTCTGTTACTAATCATAGCAAAAAATCCAAACGTATGAACTTGCTGTACATGATGACTCTGGCAGCTGGTCCTGACCAGAGATGGGCTTAGCCTATTTCACTAGTGTGTACCTACAATAAAGGGTCTTTTTAATATAAAATAACTTGCTGCTGTTGCTTGCCTTGACACTGAACGAGAGAGGTTTTTTTGTCCTTAGCAATGAGAGGTGCGTGCATGTGTTTTTATCCTTTGGCCTCTTCTGTAGCTGTTCTGTGTGGATACATGTTGCTGTTGCAAATATTCTGATAGTTCCTGTTGTGTCTCCCAGGTTTTGCACTGTGCACAAGAACGAAGACAAGAAGCATGGCATCCATCCCATCAAGCGGCTCCCTGGTGGCAACCCATGACTATTACCGAAGTAAGTGTGGGCTAAGAGCATCATTTGCAGAGAAACAGCACCAGCCTCAATGGCTGACACCTTCCAGCGCTGGGAAGAATTTTGCTTGAGGCCTTGCAGGACCAGTCAGTTGGAGTAAATTTAATGGGGCCAGATGGAGGTTCATTTTGAACCCATATAAGTCCATCTCATGCACAGGAGACTGCCTTGTTTTGTTTTGTTTTGTTTTTAAGTTGATCATCAAAATGAGTAAATACTTGGCAGTGGTCCCTTTTCCCAGCCCAGGGCAAATGGATACAGCCTTCTGCTTGGATGGATGGATGGATATTCCAGGATTTCCTAGTCTTCCAAATTCAGTCCATTAAACCAGTCTATAATCGTAATATCTGTACAAGGCTTTCAAAAAAATCTTGTCCATCTTGTCCTCTGTTTGGACAAAAAATCTGCCATCTTGTCCTCTGTTTATTAGCTGCTGAAAGACTTCCTTCAGTTTTCCTCCAGCATAGCATTGCTCTCTACTCTGTATCCACTGCTGCTATGAGTTCTTGCCCTCCACCAGCTCAAGAAGCATGCCAGGCTAGAAAGAGGATCCTTTCCAAGCCCCATCACTTGTCTGAGTCCCCCTCCTGGGCAGAGTGCCTGGGAAGCTGTAGGAAATGAGAGAAGGGATGTCGTGGCCTCTTTGCAGCAGCAGATCTACCTTGCAGTACAGGCAGAATCTCGGTGTTTGTAGGCATGTGCTTTTCCATAGCATGTAGCCGAATAGGGCTGCCTTGTTAGGATGGAATTCTCAAGACAAGCTGCTCTGTATCCATGCTGTCCACAGATGGCTTGCCTGTCCTTCTTAGAGAAAATACTTCACGTGGGCACTCTGGAATGCTTCTCATAAATGAATAGTCGCTCATGCATCAGAAGGAAAGCTGCCTATGGATTTTGCGAGAATTAGAATGCTAGATTCCATCAGTCATTTGCTTCTCAGAAACATCTGTTTCTCTAGAGAGTACTTGGCCTTGCAGACAAACTTCGGGAAGTCAGTTTTCAACTTTCCATTCTCAGGGATATTTCTAAGCTGCTTGTGTGGAGGGAAAGTATTACATAGGATTGGCCCAGTCAAAGCCTGGAGCCAGCAGCTTTGCTAAACAAAGGCTGATTTCATAAGATAGGCCAGCGACTGCTTGCAGAATGTCCGTGTTTGCCTTCCACTGGGATCCACGCCTAAGCTGATCTAAACTGTATCAGCAGTGAGCCTGCACAGCTAGTACTGCAGGAGAACAACTGACAGGTGAATGGGAGAATATTCCTCATTCCTCTCCCCATCCTAGTTCCAAGAGCAACAGCTTTTTGCCAACAGATTCTTGAGAACCGTCACTGCTGGCCTAGCACAAACGACACAAAATTCCCCAAGAGCTTTTATGAGTGGGTAATAGAGAATTTTCACTTCCCTTTGTTGGTCAGATCGGGGCTGGAGGGCCTCTGTCTGGATGCCTTTGGGGTATCCAAGGTCCGCAGTCGCCAAGGCGAAGTCTGTGCTAGGAAGAGCAGAGTCTTGGTCCATCTTTGCTGGCTTTCCTATGAAAAGCGCCACTAGACTAGTTCATCAAAGGCTCTCCTTGGCGCTCTCTTGAGTGGCTTAGAAAGGGTAGGCAATCACAAAGCTCCTTTCTAAGATTGCCCAAATCTGCATAGCTCCTTAACCTCCACAGACACACCAGGTTGTTGGAAGCTTTAGTTGGAGATGCCAGACGCTCCTCCTGTCCCGAGCACGTCTTCCTTGAGGCAAAAATGCAACTTTGCCCAACCTGGTGACCTCCTGGTGTGCTTGATTCCAGTTCCCATCATCGTGAGGCTTTTGATCTTTCTGAATAAAGCTTTCTAACATGGTGAGCATAGTTTCAAGGCCTCTGGCTCACTTTGCTTGAGCTGCATCTTCCTTGCTGCATCTCATGCAGAAGTGGAGCACTGCGGACCCACCTAGCGAAAGCCCCGAAACTGGATCTGGAGGGCCTTGTGCTGTCCTTGGTCCAAGGCTTGGTCTTCATGGGATGCATTTTGCCTTGCAGGGCGCCTGGGTTCCACTTCCAGCAACAGCTCCTGCGGAAGCGCCGAGTACTCTGGTGAAGTCATCCCGCACCATCCGGGTAAGCAGCTTAGGTCCTGCCCTGTGGCAGCCCTTTGAGGAAGCCCCTGGTAGGGCAGTTGCTGCCCTTGGCCAGTGGACTTGAGCCTTCTTTGCTCTGCTTGGACTGGAAAATTCCCAACGTACCCATGTGGCATCAATCCGCCACGATGTGTCATCTCATTTTATTATTAATTATTATTATTATTATTATTATTAGAACATTTCTATGCCGCCCCTTGCCGAAGCCTCGGGGCAGCTTACAACACAATAAAATACAATACAATACAAAAATAACAATATAAAATTAAAATTATATATATATGTGTGTGTGTGTGCGTGTATAAACGATATAAAAGAAGTTATAAAAGAAAAGAATAAATCCCCAGTGGGTTCAGGGTGTCCTGGAACCCAGTTTGAAAACTGTTTTTAATCTGGGATAAACTACACTGGTCACGGAAAGGTTATCTGCCAGAGTTTTATCCACCTGGACTTGGAAGATCGCGCCCTGCACAGTCTAGCACACAAGGACTTCCTGTTTAGGATTCGTCTTTCTTCCACTGCCGCCATCTTGGTCATCGTGAAAAGTATCTTTTTACTTGAAACCTCCATTAGTTCACTAACGGAGTAGAAGCAACTGCCCTGCACTGGGGAGGTGGAAGGTAGCCCTCCACGTGCATTGGACTTTAGCATCCAGAAGCCCAACTAGCATGCCCAGTGCTCAGGAATGCTGGAAGTTGGTATGCTCTAAACACGTAGAGATCTCCTTTCTGCCCACAACTGAATTGGCAGTGCCTTCACATCTGACGGTTCTAGGTTCTAAGAGTGTCCCTTGTTTTCACAGGTCTCCCCAAGTCTGACCCTGGACACTGGTGGGCCAGCTTTTTCTTTGGAAAGACCACTCATCCAGTGATGACAACCGTATCAGAATCCCCAGAGAAGTAAGTAATCTTTGCAGAGGAATGATCGTGGGCTGATCTTTGGAGAGGAATGTTCATGTGCGTGCATAAACTCTGGTTCTTGCTCTTGACGTACTGCCTAAATTTACAGACGTGCCTTTGAGAAAACCTCTTGTACTGCAGTGTTCCAGAGCCTGAACTGGAGGCAGGGGGCTGGGTAGCTTGAACCTGGCTGTGTGCAGGGTGAAGGGCGTGCACTGAAAAGAGCTGAGATCTCTTCTTGGGCCTGCCTTTGTGCAGACCAAGGACCGGGAGAGCGAACTCAAGGAGTCTGGCTTCTTTGTGTACTGACCACGTGCCCACTGAAGGGTATGAACAGGGAGGGAGCCTGTGCACAGACCTAACCCTGGGAAAACCAGCTCAGGCACTTCTGGTGAATGGTGCACTTCAGTTGTAATGAAGAACTAGTGTTGCGATGAAGCCACCTGGCATCTGCCCCTCTTCAGCGCATGAACTTCCTCTCGTCCTTCTTGACTGCAGAGCAGGGTGTGAACGTGTTTTTAAATTCATTCCCACTTCCCGCTTCAATTTATATCCTGCCTTTTTCCTACAAAGGGCTCAAGGCAGCTTACATCATTCTCCTCCTCCATCTTATCCCCACAACAACAACCCTGTGAGGGAGGCTGGGCTGAGAGTCTGTGACTGGCCCAAAGTCACCCAATTGGCTCCATGGACGAGCGGGGACCAGAACCCAGATCGCCTGAGTCCCAGTCCCACGCTCTTAACCACTACACCACACTGGCTCTTAAATTCATTCCTACTCAATAAGATAATGACTTCTAGAAGCTGTCATTGTTTCAGCTCAAAAAGAGATACCCCCTCTTGCATTCATTGCTCCACAGAAATTCAGACCAAGTGGCAGGTCTGGGGGTGGTTTTGATGAGGTGTGGCTCTGACCATCATGATGGGACTCCCCACTTCTAATCTTGGCACTGGCTCCAAGCTTGGAAAGGGCTGGTATCAACCAACTGTGGAATGGACCTCTTTCCCTGAGTGAGAACATTGTCTCAGCTATTCCTCCTTCTTCCTCTTTTTAATCTTGCAGCTCAGGAACTTTCCAGGTGGCAAACGGCGTGATCACGTGTGGCCTGGCCCAGGAAGTAATGAGGAAGCGCCACGCCAGCGAGCCCAGCAAACCGAACAGCGGTCCAACCGCGTGAGGAAGCTGACGCCCCCCGGCTGGTGCCTCTGACCCAAACGCTAGGCCCCAGGGCCCATTTCCCACTCCCCCTCCCCGTAGAGTAGGTCGGCTGCCTCGAGTACTACTTTAGACGTAGGTTTTTATAAAAATGAAAACAGCAACTAAAAAAATCTTCTACACCGTTCTTTTCTACTCTCTTTTTGGCCAATGCAGCTACGTCTTTTTTTCCACACAGCCTTGAAAACGCCTTTTATGTTCTTTTTGTACTCGTCTAATGAAACTGAATAAAATCCTTGAGCAGCCATTTAAAATGCTTGTGTTGTGACTTGAATTCTTCCAGTTTTGAACATGTGGGGAGGAACAAATCCTGTAGCTTTTTAAGGGCCTGATCACTCAGTGCCTCTTACAATGTTCAGAAGAAGATCGTTTATTTCATTTCTATGCACTCTGCCTAATAGCCGATGCTCTCTGATTGGTTCATAACAATTCACCAAAGAGACAGACTTCCAATACAATAAAATACAGCATAGCAGCTTCCCAATGTACAAAATTTAAAAACAATGTGAACAATTCCATTACAAATAAGACCTGTCAAAACAGCTGACAAAATGTCCCATCATACTATTAAAGAGGTATGATGCTATGGGAGAGGTTCCGTAATAGGAGCCACTGCTGAAAAGTCCCTGCTTCCTTAAAATGAAGGTCTCGGATGATGATCATATACAGTATATTAGCTCTGACTTGTCTGTCCATGTAGCCCAATACTATGCAGTTTGAGTGGCAGCAGCTCCGTCAAAGTCCTGAACGAGAAGGGGATTTTCTGTCCTATGTGGAGGTGCCAAGGATTGCAGTGGTCTGTATGTGAAAATATATTATTACTGTGAAAGGCCATCCAAGAGGGGAAAATTGGTTGGCCTTATTCCGCCTGAAAGTGTCAGAAGTCCAAGTCACAGAGGTAGGAAAAAAATGGGGGGAAAAATGACAAAAGCCAGAAGGAGCAGAGGGTAAGAAGTCCAGTGTGTGAAGCTGTACATCAGGCAGGCAAGTTCAGGTTTTGGAAGACTAGCTGCCGATAGGACCAGGTGTAAAACGGTCCTGGTTCTATTTACTGCTTTGCGGCCACATTTACTTCAGGGAAGGCCCTCTGTGAAGAAAGTTTCCATAGTCCTGGGCTCAATACAATTAAAGCAGTGTGTGTGTGTGTGTGTGTGTGTGTGTGTGTGAGAGAGAGAGAGAGAGAGAGAGAGAGAGAGAGAGAGAGAGAGAGAGAGAGAGCTGGGCAGTGCATAGGAAATCCACACAAAACATGATGCTGGATGAGAACTTAGTGAATCTCCTGGATTGACTAAAAGCAGGTTCTGGCTCAAATCAAACCAGAACTTTCCCTGGAAGCAAAAACAGCAACACTGAGGCTGTTGTAACTTGGACACATCGTGAGAAATCAAGGCTTGCTGGAGCATGCAATCCAACGTAAGGGGATGCTGAAGGCAGAAGAAGAGGAAGACGAAATGAGATCACTGGATAGCTTCCATTCAGGAAGCCATAGCCTTGAGTTCACAAGCCCTGAACAGGGCTGTGGAGGAGAGAACAGGCTGGAGGGCTTTCATTCATAGGGTTGCCATAAGTAGGAGATGACAGAACAAAGAATGAATAGCCTGCCAAATCAAATGCACGCAGGAAGGGTTACAGCTGCCGCACCAAAAATAAGTGTGCCAGCGTCCTTATCAGTGTGGTCATCTGAAACGTCAGGGACAGAGGGGATCAAGGAGCACACCTGGCGAGGGACCTGATCCTTTGGGAGATGCATAATCTAAAAATAGTTTGAATCACACCCTCAAACTCGGGCCCTCCACTGGCCAACAACACTTCAGTTTTGTCTGGATTGAACTGTTCATCATTTCCATCCAGCCCATGAAGGGCTCCAAGCCTCGTTCAAGGTTTCATGAGGCTTCTTTGGTGTTCAGGGACAGTGACAGAGCTGGGTGTGGTGGACAGATTGGCCGCTTCAAAGCTCTCCTGTGTGGGCATCAAACCAGAGGACAAGCCAAGCCAAAGGCCGTGGTTTCCAACAGTCATTCTCTAGTACCCTGTTTTGGACTGAAAGAAAGAACTTAGAACCACTGCAAAATAACACCCTCAAGGCCCAACCCCATCAGGTAGTCCAGAAGGATGGCATCAAAAAGACTGAGAGGTCCAAAACACAAGTAGGGTCAAGCTCCCCCATCCAGTTGCTGGCACAAGTCAGTCCACCAGGACAATCAAACTAGCTCCAGTCTTTCACCCTAGCCAAAAGCCCAAGTGGGCATGAGCCGAGGCTGTCTTGCATTGCCAAGATGCATGTGGGCTGTAATATCACCGCAACCTCCACGGCTCATTCAAGATGGAGACACTGGAAATTAGTTAGATAGTTCTGGGCGAATGCAATGGTGGCAGAGGAGAGGACATGTTTGCAACCCTTTATTTTGCTATGTGAGCAAGATCTTTAAACAGGTATGTGCTCATTTGCCTGCGAGCAGGTCCCAGACTCCTTCTAGGGATTCTTTCTCTAAGGGCTTCTCTCCTGGGGAGCCCTGTTCTTTTACCATCTTTGTGGGCCCTGCTCTTGGCTCACACAGAGCAGTTTCTAGCCTGCATGAAGCAAAGATTTCAGCCTAGGACAAACCTTAGGCTGGAATCCCTAGCACAACTGGAACCAGTATTAGATAGAGACAATCCAGTTCCCCTGATCTCTTGGAGGAGAAATCTTTGGACCTATTTAAGACCTGAAGAATCCCATGGAGAATTACTCATCCACCACTGCTTGAGGTGGGAAAATACCATGCCTATCCCACTTCTTAACTGTCCATAGATTTTAATCTACTTTAAGGCTGGAGCAGATGAGAGTTTTTTGTGGAGCTGATGGTAGTCTGAATGCAAACGGATGGAACCGCTGACTAGCTTGTGCTTCTAGTTCTCTAGGATTTGGGATAGCACCCGTTCCATGCTTAAGCAGAGATGCCAGAATGGAACTTTGGACTTCGAGCAGTCAGTCCAAAGGTTGGATTCCCATCCTGTTTTGACTACCCGTTTACTGTTTTGGCAGGCTCAGCCTTTCTAAAGGCCTGTTAAACTAGAGACAATATTGGAACCAATGTGGCACGAAACACTTCCAATTTTTAGGAAATGTATCCATTGCCTGCTTCATCTGATGACTGGTGACACTTGGAAGGTCTTGCCATTCCAAGTGATGAAATGAACAAGCTGCCAGACCTCATGGATGCTGCTGATTTAGACAACACAGGCTTTGTGGCTGATAAAACTGTGCATAATGAGATCAACCCACGCCTCCAGCTGTTTTTGCTGGAGTTCATTTTCCATCCACTGCATAAATAGCACATGGAGTTTTTTCCGTAGACTTTCCTGACACACATGCCAGAAAAGTCAACCAGGAGATGCAGGTTTCCATCAAACACGTTTTGTGAAATTTAGACATGTAGAAATTTAGATAGCAATGGGACTATAAAAGAGTGGAGCAGCTGTAAAAAATATTTTGGCATACAAAAATTCCAAATAAATAAATAAATAACGTTGTCTACATAACAGTAGAATGAATCCAGGAACAAGTCAGATCATAACTGTTCTGTCTTGCGGTCCAGGTTATGCTAAGCCATGGGAAAATACATCTCCACAAAAGGTCTCTGTGAGATTTTGCCTGTGACACTCTCATGTCTTTTAGTAATTTTTACTGCTTGAACTTTAAAAAGATGGCTTTGTTCTTGCTTTGCAGGCTTCTGTAGTTCAAAGATCCACTGCCTGCTCACGGAGCAGCCTTTGCGATACCCAAGCCACGCTGGCCCTAAAGAAGATCCCGGCTGCCTCTTTTTCCCAACATAAATGCAGGCTCGTAGGTCTGTAGTGTTCAGTGCTAAAAATACTCCTGATGATGTAACCTACTAAAAAGACACCAGGGCTTCATTCACAGGAGTGAGAAGTGCAGCTGCCACAGTTAAAAGTTCAGGAATAGCAGGGCGGCAACCAAGTGACCGATTACGGGGGGATTCAGGACAGACCAAAGGAAGCCCTTTGTGCAGCACACAAACCTTGAAATTCGCTTCCGCAGGATGCAGTCTTGGCTGCCAGCTTGGATGGCTTTAAAAGGGGATTGGACGAATTCATGGAGGAGCTACTATTCCTGAGAGCTAAGTTCCTCTGCTGCTAAAGGCAGAACCTTAATAAACCTCTTGTGTATTATTAAGAACCGTAATAATACACACATTGTTGGGGAAGTGAATTGGAGGGTGGTGTTGCGCTTGATCCTGAATGTGGGTTTTCCCACAGGGGCTGTTTTGCCGCTGTGTTTGCAGAATATTGGACCGGATGTGCCCCGGGTCTGATCCAGCAGGGCTCGCTTTCTGTCCATATGAATGGGCTGGCAGACAAGAGGTGGCGCATCGATGCCCTCTGTGTCCAGCATGGAAATAAAACTCGCTGTCTGGTCCTACCAACTCCAGCCGGGTAGTGATGTGGTTCAGCACGTCTGTTACCAGCAGAAGTCTGAAAACTGGTTCCCGTGATGAGCAGTGCCTCAAATGTGGATTGGTAGCGATCTCTCGTTCAGAACAGGTGGCATGGGATTGGGCCACTTGTACTGGACATGCTAGCTAAGGATGATGTATTTGCAATGCAATACTTCGAGGGCACCGAGGTGAGGAAAATTAGAGCAAGCGGGGGAAGTGCTTGAAAAAAGAGGAGAAAGGGGTTTGTGCAAGCAAACCTAGTCGAAGAGGCCAAGCCATGCTCACATGGCATGTCTGTTCCACAGATGCTTTACTCTGGGCAATGAAACAGGAATTTCAGCAATCGGAAGCCGCATAAGAACAGAAAGTGCCTGCCCTGAGTGGCCAAAATAAAATGCAAACCGATCCAAAACAGGTTTAGCAAGAGGATGACCAAAATAACTTAAACCCACTGGGTTGAATTAAGCTTTGGAAGTTTCTGCTGGTGCTTTTGTATTCGAGGCACAAATGCGCAAATTGCATCCATAGTAATTTCCGAGCCAATGAAAACATTTTGCAGCCAAAATAGCAAATAAGCCAGGCACAGCTGCCTTGAACCATGCGGGGAGAGGGGTGAGAAGAAAACCAGTTCTGATGGTGTACCGTTCCGCTTTGCACTTTAGTTAAAGGGTCAGATTTGCAAAATTCCAGGTACTACATAGTGAGAATTAGTTCTTGTTTTGGAGCTGCTGGACACAGTGAGGCTATGTACACATTGCATTTAAGATATTGCACTTAAGATATTTCTGTTGATGCTAAGACAAGTGTGGAAGCAT